TGAGAGGAAAAATATACAAGCCTGGGAATAACCATTTGAAGGATTATGAAAACACTTATTGGATTACATTCATCTACCCTAAGATCACTGGAGACTTTTAAATAAGAACTTTAAAAGACCCCTGAATCTTATATGATTGAACTCATAAAAGTGATTTGAGGAGGTTTGGATAACCCCCTCGTCTATTTAAATGGCTTTGACTAATTATATAAAGAATTGTGATTTGTGTAAGCTTAGCTTTGAATAAATGGTTCCTGGACTTTTGGCTAAAAGTGGGATCTACTAATATAAAATACACAATGCAAGGTGAAAATGAGTGGAATTTTAAGCAAGATGGAGCTGATGCTCTAAAGCATTAAGGATCTTATATAGCAGTGGTAGCTAACCTTTTTGGGCTCCTGTGCTGATAATTGCATGCGTGCTTGCCTGCTCGTGCTCACGTGCCATCACCCAGAAGCCCCTCCATGCCTCCTATGCATGCACGCATAACCTGCGCAACCCATGCTGTGCGCTTCTGCGCATGCATGCATGACCCCCGCATGCATCGCACACTTCTGAGCATGTGCGAGTATCTCCTGCATGCCGCCACACCCCCACACCAGATATCTGATAATCAGCTGTTGGGTGCGCAATAGACCTTTTCTGGGCGAGTGCTTGTGTGCCGGCAATAATGGCTCTGTGTGCCACTTCTGGCACGTGTGCCACTGGTTCGCCACCATGGTTATATAGAAACAACATAAGGCAACTGTGGAATTACTGTATGGCATAGACAAAAAACTGGAAAATATTATACAAGGGGCAAAGAGCAAAGACCAGGATGTTCAGGAATGGAGGAAAAAGCAGAACTGAAAAACCAGCGAAAAGAAGACAACAAGGAAGAGATATGAACAAAATTAATAATGATTAAGGAATTTAAATGAAAGGAAAACAACTTAAAATACTTAAAAAGAGAATGGGAGAAACAGGAAGATATTTTGGAAAAGGATAGTGGTTAGAACAGATAGCTTTAAAATTAGACAGTGGAAAAGGGTAGGAAGGGGAGAAAAAGTTGGATTGAACAGTCAGGATACATATATAGATAAGAGTTAAAGATCTAAGAGAAGAATATGGGAGTCAAGTTAAAAAAAAGAGTAAGACTTAAGGTACTGATGAGGCCAAGAGACGATGGATAGTAAAAAACAAAAAAGGGAGATCCTTCAAGAACATATTTTAACCAAAACATATATATTAACATTTGAATTATATAGACTGGATAATTATTTTGTATGTACTGTGATAGGCATTAGGACAATATTTTAATACAAATAGATATGAAGAGTAAAATATGGGAATTATGAATAACAACTAAGCATTAATTGGAAAATATTAGAGAATGAATGATGGTATTATTAACATGCCTAAATAATATAATGATTAGCAGTGAAATAATAAAATTAAGCTATGAGTAATTAGATAATGAAAGAATACTTTTTTAATATAAACGTGTATTAATAGAAAAATTACATTGATTGGATGAATGGAAGGAATATGAATAGATCTACCCTATATGTTTAAAATATATTGTGATTGGTATTAGAATTGTATTGTCAGGATTTATTGAAAAACTGAACAATGAAAGAATGAAGGATGAAACTTTAATATATTTAGATGTGAAGAGTTAAATAAGGGAAATATGAATTATAAAGCAGGTGAAAGATGGAAGACAGAAATGTCTTTGAATACTGTGGTAACATGAATAAAAGTTAGAATAGAATTAGAAATAAGGGGAACAACAATATACATATTTTAATATGACAAAATATATGTAATAAAAGGGAGGTTTAAAAAATGAATGGTGGATTAGATATGTTTAAACAATATGAAACATTAAAAATGAAATGTAATAACTATGAGTTATATGTTTATTTGTACTAAAAGGTATGATACCCACTGTTCACGCATTTATTTGTATAAGCAATATAAAATAAAAAAAACTTGACAAAAAAAGAAAGAAATCCTTAGATAATATAAATTGGCAATTTATGATACAACAGTTAGATTGTATGGACTTTGGCGAGCAGTTTATAAACATGATTAAGGCAATATATCACAAGCAAATGACAAAAGTAATAATTAATGGGGACTTGATGAAGAATTTTAATATTAAAAAAGGCACAAGATAAGAATGCCCGTTATCCCCATTACTATTTATACTAACATTGAAAGTGTTAAATAGAAATATTAGACAAGACCCAGAAATAAAAGATATGGAAATAAAAAGGGAAAAATATAAATTACAAGCATTTGCAGATGATTTAGTATTTATCTTAGAAGAACCATTGGAAATGGGTCCCAAATTAATGGGAAAAATAGAATACAGGAAAGTTACAGGACTGAAAATAAACAAAGACAAAGTAAAATCTTAATTAAGAATCTTACAAAAAAACAGAAAGGTAAATTGATAAAAAAAATAGACCTACAAATAGTTTGAAAAGTAAAATACTTGGCAATATATTTAACAGCAAGCTGTGTAATAATCAAAGAAGATAATTATATAAGACTACTACAAGAAATCAAAGCAAACTTGGAAAAATTTAAAAATTTGCAGATAATGGTAGAAAGGATTGCAACTATAAAAATAAGTATTCTGCCAATGCTACTGTTTCTATTCCAAACAATCCCCATAAAATTAGAAAAAAATACTTTGATGAACTAAACACAATAATTTTGAAATACGTTTGGCAAGGGAAAAAAGCAAGAATAAGATTGAAAATGTTACAAGAAACTAAAAATAATGAGGGCTTTGGACTAACAGATTTGGAGCTTATCAAGCTTCTATATTAACATGGATGATAGAATAGATAACTCTCAGATAGAAGATTACTATTTCTAGAAGATGTAATTAAAAAGAAATTTAGATTGTGCAGAAATTGACAGATTGACATTAAAGATGAAAGAAAAAGAAGATACAGAATATTTTCCAACATGGGATTTGTTTTACAAATGGTTGGATAATAAGAGGTAGAAATTAGGAATGGGAAAAGTATTATTATATGAACAAAATGATCCGGAGCCAAGGGTATCAAACTCTAGGCCCAAGGGCCGGATGTGGCCCATGGGGTACTTAAATCCGGCCCATGGGGCTGACCTGTAAACACCAAAGGACCAGCCTGTGATGCCTCTGGCAGCTAAAATGAGCAGCGTGCATCCCCCGTGCCTCGTTTTCACCCTCCATAGCTTCCTGCAGCATTCTACCTGCTGAAACTGGGCCAAAAACTGGCCCCCAAACAGCCCTCAAAATGGGCCAAAATACACCCCCAAAATGGATTGAAACAGCCAAAAAACAGTCTGAAAATGAGCCACACAGCCGGTTTTCAACCGGCCTAGTGCTGCAGGAAGCCATGGACAATGAAAATGAAGTGCAGGGGGCCCACATGCGGAGCCCCACACCTCATTTTGGCTGACAGGGTGCTGCAGGAGGCATCCGTCCTGCCCCCCTGCTGCTCCCCCCCCCATGGCCTGCAGAGAACAAATCCAGTTTGACACCCCTGATCCAGGCAATATGCTGTTCACTCAGCACATCTGTATGTAATGTGAAAATGTATAAATAAACTGCTTTTAAAAAAAGAACTAGAGAAATAATTCTTTTTGATTATATTCTTCTACTGTAATTTTCTATTGGACATTTTTTATAAAGCAATATGCATATTCCTGGTAGCTCTCAAAAGGTAATTCAAAAACTTTATTAGGCAAATCATCTTATTAATAAAGCCATGTTACCATAAAGTTATGTATGTTCTCCTCATTCCTTTTCTATACTCCATATGTCAAAATAAATTTATTTAATAGCACTAATAGATTCCACACAAAAGGTCATAAACTATCTTTGGAAAAATATGTATATTTAGCAATCTTCAGTATCTAACAGTCAAACCGATACATGTCAATTCCAAATAAAGCCCATTTCTTTAGATAACTTTCTCCCAAGTCAATATGCTAGGACAGCAAACTTTACATTACAAATCTTTGTATATTCCACTTGGAATTAGAACTACTGATCTCAATGGGATTTATTTTTGAAAATATATATATACATACATACATATGTGAAAAAAAGTGCAACTTGAACACTTAAGACTTCAACACTGGGCCCTATCTAACAAAATGAAATTCAATGTAGAAAAAAGTAAAGTCTTACACTTAGGCGAAAAAAAACCAAAAGCACACATATAGATTGGGTGAAACCAGGCTCAATAGCAGTAACTGTGAGAGGGATCTTGAAGTCTTAGTGTACAACCAGCTAAATATAAGCCAGCAGCAGCCAAAAAAGCTAATACAATCCCAAGTTGCATAAACAGAGGGATACAATCAAGATCAAGTGAGGTATTAATACCACTCTATAAAGCCTTAGTAAGACCACACCTAGAGTACTGCATCCAGTTTTGGTCACCACACTATAAAAAAGATGTTGAGACTCTAGAAAAAGTACAGAGAAGAGCAACCAGGATAATTAGGGGACTGGAGACTAAAACATATGAAGAACGGTTACAGAAACTCGACTTAGTTAGTCTAGTGAAGAGAAGGACCAGGAGAGACATGATAGCAGTGGTTTAATATTTGTGGGGCTGCCACAGAGAGGAGGGGGTCAAGCTATTTTCTAGAGCACCTATAGGCCAGACAAGAAATAATGGATGGAAACTGAACAAGGAGAGATTTAACCTGGAAATAAGGAGACATTTTCTGATAGTGAGAACAATCAACCAATGGAACAGCTTGCCTTCGGAAGTTGGGGGAGCTTCATCACTTGAGACTTTCAACATGAGATTGGACTGCCATTTGTCAGAAATGGTGTAGGGTCTTCTGCTTGGGTGGGGGTGGGTTTGGACTAGATGACCTACAAGGTCCCTTCCAACACTATTAATCTGTAATATTACTTGTAAAAGATAAACTCCCCAATGCAGTATTCATTACACATTGAATTATTATTATTATTATGCAACAAAATCAATGTACTTCTATACCTTTTCATCTGTATCAAAAACCTTGGTAAGTTTATTCAGTTCTGACAGCTGTCCATCTTCAGGAGATAATCCTGATATTCCTCCTATAAAATTGATTCCATTTAGAGCCTGACTTAATTTCATCATTTGAGAAAAATTATGTCATGTGTACTTTTGAACTATAGCAACGATAGAAACAGAATGCTTAACTGAAAAATGGGATTTTTTTCAGTATTCCTAAAGTAATAACTCTACATTTAAAATGACACTTCTATGTTGGACAGAAACTTGTGGTACCAGATAATATGACATTATTAATCATTTGATTAATGGTGGCCACTTATACATTCAAAACAAGAAGCTGTAATTATAATGAGAATATGCCACTATGGAACTCATTTGATATTAAGCCCTAAATGCTTCAGTAGAGATTAATAATATGTCCAAATTCATAAAATAAAGGTTTATACATTTTTAAAATCCAAGCTAATTAATTTTTAATTTCTACATATACACATACAGTATACACATATTAAAGAAGGGGAAATAGTTGGCCAAAAAATAATATTAACTGGAATGCAATTTAAAGTTCTTATGAATTGCTGTGATTTGATGTTTCAAAAAAATTCAGACATAACTCAGATATGGTAAATCCTCAAGAATTACAAATAAACTATAAAATTCTTAGTTCTCTAAAAAACAAAGTATATACTGATGCCATATTTTTAATTAAGCTGTATAGAGTCATTAATTATATCTGGTTATGTCTTCTGATCATAAGACTAACATAAACCTAACTCTAAGCACATTATATAGCAACAAATCCAACAGGAGGAGAATGCTACTAATCTACATGCTTCTTTTCCTTTTATATTTAGGACACAATGCAAAACTTTATACAAATACAAAGCAAGCCACAGATAAGGGGAGCATTATGGCATTATACATAAAATGTATGTTTGGCTTGCATGTTAATTGGACCATAACTTTTTATACAAAAACAGAGTTAACAATATTAACAACAAAATTTATTTCCTACAATATTTTTTTTCTGTTAATTGTTCTTTAAATTAATGGACTGAAAAGTAATAAATACTAGATGCAATTGATTATCGACTGACTTGTGATAACAATGAGTCTGAACCGGTTTTAAAAATAAAACTCAAATCTGGAACATACAAAAAGAACAATATAACTGAATATGGTTAACTACCTCCCATACGCTGATTATTGTTAGTTCTCAATTGACATTGGCTTCTGGACAAGATATGAAATACCTTACTATTCTTATTTAAATTAAGGACTATTTAAGTAAAATGCATTAGAGGACTAAAGTGAATAGTGTGCTGGAAAAGCATAAGAGAAGAAACTGATATTATAGTAAAACAATTTAGGCAGGGATTCTATAAGAAATCTAAACAGGCAAGGTCAAAACAGCTCTGGTAGGCAGCATCTGAGATATCTCACTATTCTATTACCCCTGAATCTTTTCAGATTTTATATACTTTAAACTTATAAAATTCAGAATGTTTTGGAAAAAGAATATTTAACCCTAACTTGGGATGAAAATAACATATTTTGCTAATAGAAAAGCATAAATACTGAATTTTAGATATCTGAATAACTCACAATTCCAAAGTCAGTGAAGTCGTAAGTAATCACATGACTGAACCCGATTTTACAACAATTTTTTACCAAGGTCAGATAACAAATCACTAATTATTGAATCACAGGGCTGGTGGTTAAGCAAATCCAACTTCCCCAAAGGATTTTTTTGGCAAAAAGCTGAAAAAAGATTGCAAATCATCATCACATGATTGCAAACTACTGCAATCATATGTAAATGTGAGTCAGTTGCCAAATACCCAAATTATGATCCCACATCTGTAGAAGGTATGACCTTCATTAGTTCAAGTACAGGATGTGGCTGGTATCTGAAAAAAGACCATTTAGTAATATGCAATCCTTAATGAAAAGGTTTTTTCAAAAGCCTGATGAACTGATAATAGTTATAGAAAATATTCAGATGTCTGTAGCTCTTGATAAATTAGGTCCCCAAAAGGAATGTGATTTGAAAGCAGCAGATCTGTTGGGGGAAAAATGTACTGTACAGACTTAGAACAGAGTTGATTGTATACACCTCCTTGAAGTTCAAGCCAGCATTTTTTTATAACAGAAGCAACCTGAGTGAGTGAAGAAGTGATAGATTTTTCCCAGGACTGAAGGACATGGATTTATTACATATAACTGGAAAACAATTTTATCTGGACATTTTTTGTGAAGATAGACTGACTTTGGAAGTTCAATTTATTATGTTTAACCACACAATTGATAAGAGATAGTATTAAGAAACAAATGTGAAAACTTAATTCAGGAAGAATTACTGTTAACTCAGAATGATTTGGAATAGATAAAATGCCATGGGAAATTTTCTACAAGTTGATTAGAATAAGAGTATATTAATAGATGGTTTGGAAACTTTAATCTTGCCTTTTTATTATTATTGTTTTTGTTACTATTTTGTCATTAATGTATATCGATTACAAGTTAATAATTTGCAAATATGTTTCATTTTTTAAAAATTGGGGGGTGGGCTTGTTTTGTAAGGGATGGGAAATTAATATTGTAATATTGATCAACATTCAACCGGAGGGATGTTTCAATGTTTCCAACTCCATCTCCTTGAGTACAGGTTTCCCACAGGGCTGCGTCTTGAGTCCCCTACCGCTCACCTTGATGACCCATAACCGCTATGCCAAATCTGCATACAAATCACATTGGGAAATATGTGGATGACACAGCAGTGGTGGGTCTTATCCAGGATGACAATGAAGATGCTTATAAAGAAGAGGTGAAGGCTCTGGTGGACTGGTGCAATTAAAGTAACCTGATTCTAAAAGTTGATAAAACACAGGAGTTCATTGTAGATTTTAGAAAGAGCCAGCATAGGGTTAACAGTATTAAGCATCTGGGAGTGCAGATAACTAACAATGTGACTTGGTGTCTCCACACATCCTCCTCAATGAAATATGCAAACCACTGTCTTCATTTCCTCTCTTGGGTGAGGAGAGCACATCTTTCTCCTTCTGTCCTGGCCACTTTTTACAGATTGAGAGAGCAAGATTGAGAGCGCTTTAACAAACTGCATCACTGTTTGGTTTGATGGCAGCAGTGCCTCAGATAGAAAGTCCATACCGAGAGTGGTAAGGACAGTCGAGATTATTATAGGAAGCTTGCTTCCCATTATTGAGGATATTGCTCATAAGCACTATATGCTTAGAGCTCAAAGTATTGTGAGAGACCCCATACACCAGAGGTGGGCAACTATGGCCCCTTTATGACTTGTGGACTTCAACTCCCAAAATTCCTGAGCTAGCATAGCTTGCTCAGGAATTCTGGGAGTTGAAGTCCATAATTCATAAAAGGGCCATAGTTGCCCACCCCTGCCATACACCCACTTTATGGTCTGTTTCTGTTGCTCCCTTCTGGGAGGAGGTTTTGAAATATTTCTAGCAGGATTACTAGATTCTGTAACAGCTTTCTTCCCTATGCATCTATCTGGTAAAAACTTTCTCGCCATGTATATGAATATATCTAAACTAGACTGTATCGTTTCTGTGTCATATAATATAAATAGTAATATGCATAATTTAGTATTTATTTATTCTGTCATGGTTATGTAATGGTGGTAATCCTTTGAGAGCTATATGCAACAAAATTGCATTTTAATGTATGCCAATTAATATACATTCAAAGTGACAATAAAGTTATTCTATTCTATTGATAGTTTGACAACTATGTTGTCAAAAATTATGTAAACTATTTTTTTTAATGCTTTGTTTTGTGCTTTGTCTTCATTTTTTTTAAATGAAATTGTTTTTAATTTTCTCCAATAAAATAAAAATAGAACCAAAATTGAATTCAAATATAGGTAAAGCATTTTTTCTGAGGTTGTCATAACTTTGAATTGGTCACAAGTCAAAGACTACCTTATAATAACTGTATTTGTTTGGAGTTCCCCTATAAAATAACAATCTATTCTTTCCAAAATCTTCTGCGCCACTGCTAGATCTGTGCATTATACTTATATATTATACGCATCAATTTATTTTATTACACAATTATGCAAATTAACTATGTTGTCAAAAATTATGTAAACTATTTTTTCTCCATTTCAAACTCTTTACCTTGTATCACCAAACCATCAGCGTTTTCATCCAATTTCAGTGTTTCATAATTTTGAATGAAGTTTTCTCTGTAAATGAAAGATTTTATAAAACTTAAATTGTATGTATCAAGCTCTTATCCTATTAAAACAGTGCAGCATAACACACTCTACTTAACTCATAACTTATGCTTCCCCTTCCTCATCCAGCAATTCTCCAGCACCCTCTCCCCACATTGGAGAAATCATGGAAATCCTACTTTCCTTTTCAAACAGTGGTGAACATAACCATGCTTTCACTCCCTGCACTGCTTGGAAAGGATCAAAGCACAGCACATAGGAGGAGCTGGCAGGCTGGAAGGAACCTTTGGGAGGTAGGGGGAGATATAGGCCACAAACTACAGTTTGGAGACCCCTGCACTACACCAAATTCATTATATGTAGTAGCTACACGTACAGCAATTTCATCAATTTCAATCATTATAACAAATACATGCAACTTGGTTCAGGAATAACATGGGATCAGATGCAGGTACTGAATAACCAAGAAATAAACTACTTTTACATTTCCAACTAATTTGTTCAGAAAATGCCACTTAGATAAAGAATTTTCATCTAGAAGATGAAGTAACATCAAGAACAAATAAATGAGAGTAGTCTTTTAAGAATCTGAAGGAAATAGTTTGGAGAGGAAAGTGGATCTTATGGGCAAGAGAGTATTCTATCACAGGTCATACAAGTAACATCTTAGTCTGAACTGTTGATGTGATGCATGAATGCAATATTTTATTATTTTAAAGTCAAAGTTAATGTTTTCTAAGTTGGTTCTTCAGTTATGCTTGTTTTTTTATTAAATACCCAATAATTCTGGAGAATTGTTCCTCTCTAAAATTAGGCTTTTTTATTGTATAACCTTATCTCATAAGGGTCAAACCTAAAATACTTAAACTATATTGATAGTTCCACCATCTAAAATGGATGTTATTGCACTATGGACATATCCATTTAGGCATGAAGATTTATCTAGGTGTTTAAGTGAAAAAAATAATGCAAAATAATTTGTATTTAATTTTCACATTTAAGAACACAATCTACCTTGTACTTCTATCTGTAATGTATAATAAAGTGAACTGAACTCAAATAAGTCTGAACATAAACAGCTGGATTCTTTACTACATGTAAGTGCTATTGCATATTTAAAACAAAACAATCATATAAAATCCTAATATTAGAAGATATTAGAAGACATGTTTGCTTTACAGTTACCGTTGACATGCTTCAAATTTCTCTGTGAACAATTTTAATATAGTATAGTATGGTATTCTCTTGATTATTCCAACCCCTAAAACCAACATTCAAAGCAACAAGCCTACCTAATGGATTTCAAATGCTTGCTTTTTGAAAGTTGAGAAGAGTTCGGTTTCCATTCCAGATCTTTTTCTGAAAAGTCACTAGTATAAATGTTTTTAGTATTATGAATATTTGCATAGTCATCTTCTTTCTCAACATTATCTCCAAACAGGTCAGGGTCATCTTGAATAACATCTATCACAAGAATATCATTTTCGTAAGCCTTAAGAATATCTGTACAAATGTCATCATTGTCCTGTGCCAACTTATTGTTGACATTAACTTTATCAATAATTCCTGAGGCCAAAGCAGAATTTAGCATTTGTTCCTCTATATTTTCAGTACTCAAAGAGAAAGGAGTAGTATTCAAAGTTGGTGATTTTAGTTTATTCTCATGTAAAATACTCTCAAAAGTATTACAAACTCTTCTCTTAGAAAAGTTTCCAGAGATATCACTGTTGAATTGATGTATGTATTTTTCCAGCGCAGACGTATAATTCTCCTGTTCAGATTGGATTTGTGAGCTAGAATTTTTGACAAAGGAAGCCACTTCAATTCTACCTTCTTTTCGAGAAAGAGCATTCTTTAAAACATTTGAAGAATTGTCAGCATCTTTTTTGGATGATGTTTCAGTTTGTGGTTTTCTAAAATTACATTTATCCTTAACTAAAGGAATTTTGAAATTTGACCAAGTTCCTGATGCCAAATTTTTCAACACTGTTTTTTGTTTGGTAACTGATGCTTTTGGATTATCTGTCCTCTTTTTCCTAATGCCTGCAAATGAGCCTTTCTGAATATTTAGATTTTTTTCTTTGACTTCTTTCCTTAATAAATTCAAAATCACTTTTGATTTTGCAATTTCAGTACCAAGTGTACTTTGTTTAGATCTTTCCATATCATCAGAAGAAAACCTATTCTCGGTAATAGGTGAAAGTGTCTTCCCTTTATGTAATACAGAGTCTGAACTTTCAACACATTCCATTGTATTTATAGATATTTTACAACTATCTACCAATGGCTTATGGACCTCCAATTTGCTGCATTTTGTTACTGAATCAGTTTCTTCTAAATATCCTGTATGTGAATCCAATGCATGATTTTTACAAACCCACAAGGATGTCCTTGCGCATGATTCACGAAGCCATATATTTTTACCACTAATTGGGATTGTCCTTTGACAGCTATACAGTTGTGGTTTCCTACCAGTTTTTTTCATTTTTATGTTACATGTCCTTTTTCTTTTCATATAGGGAGCAGCATTACTATTACAGTTCATACTTTTTTCACTATCCAGTGTCTCCGTTATGGTTTTCTTTTCATCCATTTTACTGAAGTCAATAAATGTCTTCATTTCTTTTAATTCATTCTTGTCTGTTTTGAGAACTACCGATTTCTCAAAAATATTGTAACTGTATGTAATGACATGCTCTTGGTCTGCTGTTTCATTGCTAGACATGGTGTCAACTTGATTTTGAGAAGGCAGCTCCAGACTTAAATCAGGTAAATCAGGTATACAATCTAATAAAGATAGGATACTTGTTTCATTATAATCTAGTTTTTCTGAAATTACTGCAGAATCTATGGCAACAGTATTATCTTCTACTGGTATTCCATGTTCAGTGGAAATATCCTCATTTATAAGAACTTTCATGACTGATGATTCTTCTAGGTCCTCTGGCATTTTTAGTTTTTTTGCTTGGCTTTTTAAAATCCGTGGACAATTTATTTTCCATGATTCACTTTCCATATTGACTTTTAGTATGTTGGACACTTCTCTTGAAAACGTCTTTTTGTGTGATTAACTTTATATCATGTATTACATTAGGGATACTTCTAAGTTCATCCTGTCCCATGCCCTTAGATGATGGGGATTTTTCTTGATCAAACACAGTATGCGGAGATCCACAATTAATTTTAAAGCTTTGAGGCTTGATACCTGTAGATTGTAACGACGTCTTAATAACAATCAAATGATTTTACTACTGTGTTCTTTTTGCAGGGCGGAACATTATACATAAGAAGTTATTCAATTTTTTCATTCTGATATTTCACCAATGTGCTTTTTTCAATTTTCTTTTTATGTATTCTTATATCAAAATTTTCTGGACATGCAGTATTTCTGACAAAGAATGTAGTGTTACAATATTTTTTAGTCTGCTTCCAAAAGCAAAGTTTAACAGAATTGTTGTTCTTGATCTCATCTGCCTCTGTTATTAGTAGACCCGCAGACTGTTCTAATGCTGTCTCTATATTGCAGTTCTTTAAAATAGTCAGGAGTGTACATGGCATCCTTCCATATTTAAAATGTCAAGGGTATCTTCTCCTGATTAAAAAAAACAAATAATCATTAATATATATATATATATATATATATATATACATATATATACATAATACTTCACTATAAAAAAGATATTTATAAATATTGTTTATTTAATGCCATTAGAAATAGAAAAATATCTAGCATCATCTAAATTTACTTTAGGTCCTATTTTAATTAGTACAGGTACTAATTAAATCAACATATAACTGTAATTTGAGTCTGGAATTACAATTGTAAATCAAGACATCACATGTCTTGATTTGTAGATATGAGCAATTTTTATAATGGCCATTCACTGAATGCCACAGTTTTTAAAAGTAACTATTTTCCCTATCTATTTTTGCTGGAAACTGACAAAAAAGTAACAAATTGTGGCTATACGAACACACAAAGCTGCAAATAACTGTAAAGATGACTTGGTTTCTAAGCATCCAAACTACAATCATGTGACCACAAGGAGAATGGCCTGTAGCTGCTGTAACTCCAAAAATGGGTCATAAATATCTCTAGGAAATATCTCTGTCGTAATATCAAACAGTAGTTAAACGACTGATAGCAAGTCAAGGATTATCTGTACAATAATATGATTATTACATATGTTTTTTAATAAAGTAACCGTAAACATTAAAATAAATAATTATGCAATCATGTATAAATCCTACACAAGGGAATTTTAATTCTAATGTAGCTTTAATTTAGTGTAAAATACAGCAGACTGCAAAAAAAGTGACACATTTAAGAGAATTAATAAAAGTTATTAATTTTTAGAAAAGTGTTTATAGTTTCCAGCCAAAATATAAAAGAAGTAGCTTTATATAGACAAGTATGCCCAGATGTGATTACCCATTCTATATAAAGAATTAGTATCCAGCTAGACAGAAGCCCTACTTGATCTTGAAAAAGCTAAAGCAGGTCAGACCCAATTATGGTAGTAGTTAGGTGAGTGATCATGAAATACTAACACTGTTGGCTACATTGATAAATGTTTTTAAAAGTCCATCCAAAACAGAAATCACTTTCAAATTTGAAGAAACAGCATGGGCATGGGCATTAAATTATCAGGAATTAGCTTAACTCGGTCTCAAATGCTTGCTTTCAAGGCTGGAGCTTTGACCAACATCTCTTGAAGAAAGTTTAATATTGTAAAATGTTTTCATTTCAATTGCAAATATAACCTAACTTAATTTTTTACTCATTATACTATCCCAATTTTAATTTTAGTCATTTTAAAGTTTTTAAATTTAGATTCAAGCAGGGAGTAATAGTTGCAAAAAATAGAAATTCAATCCTAAAGTCATAAAATATATACTGTATTCAGATGAAAAGGGAATAAGCATCCTTATTAAATGTTTTGATTTTTTGTTTAAAATCAGTTGAAGACACCATTTCATCTTTTCCATCTGTCTCTTCCTTACTAATTCCCGCTGTTTTAGTAACCAACAGCTCCTCTTTAGGTTTACAATCCATTTATTCTTTATTTTCTTATTTGAAATACATTGGCTATATTCCAGGATCTCTGTAACACTTCTGACTTCTAACTTTGTTTTTCACCATCTCTAGTAAACATTTTTGATTTTGAAAATATTTGTGTTACCATCATATTTATTCCTTCTTTTAAATTATTTCTGCATTTATTTTCTTCAAAGTCTGCTATAGAATCAAATAAATCTTGCCTTGAAACTTTTATATTGTTCTACAATTTTGAGAGTCAGTTCTTTTTGTTTTACAAAATTCACCATGGCATTTTCATTAGACTCTCTATTCCTTCTATACAGCTATTTGAAAAATGTGACACAGCAGTTGACCTCACACTGACTGGGTACTTTACACGTATCTGTGATTTGGGGAAATTTTCGCTATATTTTAATACCCTTATGTTCTGTATGATACATTCTAATTTACATTTGCTTCTCTTTATTCTCTGATTTTTGTCCGGTTTTTGTTCTGGTGCAAAATAAAATTGTGCAGCTATGGCTTTTCTGCAGGTTTTCTGGTGCTTTTTCAGACCTTAAATCTATTATTACTGAAGTACCATGCTTCTCGGTTACGGTTCCTTTTACTCTTTGACTTTTGTTCCACTTTTGTACTGGTCAAATTGGTTTAATTCTCTTCCTAAAATTACATGTTTTATGCTGAAATTTTGATTCTGAGGCTAAGTGGCTATGGCTTTTCTGCAGGTTTCTTGATACCTTTTCAGAACCTAAATCAATCATTACAAGTCCCATCCTTTTCATCTCCTTGTGTAATCCTCTCATTAACAAGGAATGTTGGCATTTTTTTCTTTAAATTCTTTGCATTTTTTGTGAAACTTTGCTTTTTGTTCATGTTCTAGTAAAGAACTAGTATATGTTTTTTGTATGTCTCCTTTCAATGAAGAACTCCTATACCTTCTTTTCCTACCCTTTGATTGCTGCATATTTTGCAAAGCAGTATCATATTCCCTTTTCATCACGCTTGATACTCTCTTCTTCGATACTCTTCCTTTTATCAAAACCTCATTTTCCAGTTTAATGCTTAGAATGTAGTCACAGCTGACCAGCATTATGTCTGTATTATGGCAATTCCTCTTTTCTCAGAGACAAAATTTCTGTTCTGCTTATCCTTATCTTTTATGACTGTTTCAGAAGTGTTTAAGTTATGAAATTTTACTGGAAATTTCTAGCAAAGAGAACACTTGGTTACTGTCCCTACACTCATTTTTTAAAGAGTTATTACAGATATTGTCTGTCCAATTTGGGTTTCCATCCCAACTTCTAGTAACAAACAAAATTAAATGCATGCAGATTAATTGTCTAATATTTCTGAATTAGTTTTAGGCAACAGAATAGGCAAAGTGTGCTGGACCTGAGAAACAAATGAGCTTTTCAGGAAGCCAACTATGAGTTTCCTAGAAACTCACATTCAACTATGGTTCACCAAATTATAGACATCAATTCTTCTTTGGTCAACATAATTACAATATAAGAATTGCTAGTGGTTTTGTTTCCAAACAAGCTCAACCTCAATTGTTTCAGTTCGTTTTTGTAAAAAAAGAAATAAACATTTGAAGACAGTGTTAAGAAAGCCATTCAAGTAAAGATACTATATAATAACCCAAAGTTTCTTCTTCGGGAATAACTGAAAGGGGAAAGGGGAGGAATTAGGAAAAAATAGATAAATAAAACTTGACTTCTATCCTCTTAATTTTTGAGATATTGAAGGGTTTAATGCAACTAGGAAGATGTCAAGGTAGCCGAGTTTCGTTGACCCTTCTCCAGAAGAAAGCGGAGACGCCACTCTACCGCCTACGCAGATTCCCCACTTCGCAACTTTTGCACACAGCGCTGGCAATAAATCCGATGGAAGATTATTCGAATTATTGTAAAGCTAACAATGCAAAAAAGCTGTATTGAGAAAAACCCCAACCACAGGAACCAGAGATAATTTCCTTCACCCTCCCCCAAACTCAATCACTGCATTAAAAAGCCAGGTTGCCCTAATTAAACTTCTCTCTCGCTCCGGGCCCACCTAAAGCTGCTGCTGCCGCCGCCATCCGCCATTTCCACGCCTGTCGTCTTGTGCATTTCCTCTTAGAAAAAGGCGGACTCCACACGTCGCGGCGACTAAGTAAACGGCGGGACGCGGCTGGAGGGATTGCACGCAGGCGCTTCATGAGGGAAAGAGTAAGGGGACGAGGAAACTAGTGTTTTTTTCCCTCACAGAGAGTTAGGGCGTCACTGGAATAGTTCGACTGTGAATCTGTAGAGGGTGGATTGGGTCGGTTGAGTATTATTACCTCGATATGGCATTCAAGAGAGTGAATATAAAACGTTTCGTCTCCTGTTCCCGCTATTTTAACAAAGAGGGTACTTTGTGTGACAGCAGCCACGAACAGAAGGATACAAAATTTGCGCTTAAAATGGCGCGCGGGGATATCGGGCCGTTCACTTTCCTCGTGTCTTCACCGATCTGGTCTTGGCGTACAGCAGAACCTATAAAGAAAAAAAAAGAGGGGGGCAGGTTCTGTCAATAAGACTCTTCCTCCTTTTCTTATCCGTTTGTTTTTAAAAAACTGGGACGTCCCTGGTCTCTTGGGAACGGCGTTTATTTAGTAGGACAAATGTGTCTTTTTGTGGTGTGTATCTTAGAGTTGTTGACCGGGTTTCATTATAAACCTAATTTCGCGCTCACATAAACCTAGTTCTACACAACGAACCAATTTTAAAAACCCAATTTTGGTAATCCTGGTTTTTAGTCCTTGCGAGTATGGGAGCAAGGCCTGACTGACCTCAGCTTTATCAATGTAGATAGTTCAGTAGTTCATACTGGTCTGGACTACGGACAGTTTCGACTCCTATCATCCTCCAAGGTAATGGCCCACTGCAATGATCGGAGGGACTGCAGTTCGGAGCTTGGAGACTAGAATACAAA